CGGGTTATGAACGTGATGACCGTACCAGAAGACCTCGGCACGTACCACTATAACGGTAGTAAGACGTAATCCATTAGTCTCTCTTACACCAACGTGACAGTCACAAATTAATAAGTGGAGACGAGACACTGTTCCACGCAGGGGGTCATCAATACTCCTGTCACTCCTGTCACAATCAAACTGTTCACATCTCCTTATACACACATATCATTTTATCTATTTACCTTCAACTTTAAATACCTACCGATTCCAGAGCTCAAACGTTTAACTTTGACCGTTAAACTTTTTATCCTATCGATTTCCCTCAAATTCGTATCCCCCGGGCGTGTTTCTCTCTTTTTAAATATCTAATTTAAAATGAGATCGTGTATAGACAACGAATATAACGCGTGTCAAGGAAGATTAATCTTTTGTATAAGACTATGGTATGGAATATCCAATTTCTTTAGGAGTCAATTAAAGATAATTTTCAAAAACATGACACGGGGATAGTCCTACCCTTTCCCGCTGGGTCTGTTCCGCTCACCTAGAGTGATTTCACCTTCGTCAAAGAAGATCGTTTTTTAATTTCATTACATTTGTACGATTGCAAAGTAGTCCAGACAATGCTTTAAACAATGTTGCGCGATTCTTTTGAATATTTTACCGACTTAATTCATTTCGATCCAAAAGGGACTCAGTCCTGCCATTTGTCAATGCGTTCATTACAATTATACGATTTCAAAGTAGGCTAGACAATGCTTTTAAAGATGTTTGACGACTATTTTGAAATATTTTACTCGCTTATCCGTTCCGATCCAGAAGGGGCTCAGCCTAAATCGTCATTATCCTGATAATGATGTGTGCAAAAAAATAGCATTTTTTCAGAAGTCAAATGGCTTTTCCTCTGAACCTGAAGTATGAAGGGTCACTCAAAACACATGTCCGTTCTAACACGAGAATCAAAGCTCATTTCGGAGATTTAACAACGTACTCTCAATGACATAATGGAGGTAGTGTAGAACATTTATATCCAATATCAATGAAATTTAACATTGACTTCCATGGTCACATACACCTGTGTATACGACATCCTATTATCAAAATTAGCAATAAAGATGTACCGGTATTAAGATTTTCAAAGCAGAACTTACCAATTACTACTTCAAACTTGTGTCTTCTTTTGTTGCATCTCTATCCTACTTTCAACAACTTGTAATTAAATTTCTAAACCATATTAAACTCGAAATCGCAAAGCTCTGATGACTATAATACTTGAGAAGAAGATTTCTGAAAGTTTCACTTAATTTCATCCTATTCCGTTATCCTCTTCATAATATTTGATGAAACTCCGCAAAAACACTGTTCAAGATATTTCACTCGCAAACTTAGTCGGCTCCATCCGTTGCAGCGACCAGTCAAATATTATAATATGATTCTATGCTTTTTGGTTATTCTTCAGAAGTGTTGGACATATTTGTCAATGTAGGTCAAGGTCATTTTCCTTCTCAAACTTTGTTGGCTCGATCTCGAGAAGCTACCAGCCAAATCTTCTGAATCCATGCCTTTTGGTCCTTCTGAACAAGTCGTTTGAAATGTTGTTGACCTTTGTGACCTTTAAAGTAGGTTGAGGTCATTTTCATTTGCAAACTTTAGTGAGCTCTATCCCAAAAAGCCACCAGCCAAATATTATATTTCTATGCCTTTCGATTATTCAAAAATCGTTGATGTTTTTGACCCATGTGACCTTGAAAGTAGGTCAAGGTCATTTTCATTCGCAAAATTTGACGTGATCAATCCAAAGAAATTTTCACTTGCAACCTTTGTCAGGATCAATCCTAAGAAGCTACCAGCAAAAAATTTCAGAAGAAGTTGTTTGAAATGTGTTAACACATTTGACCCCTGTGACTTTTAAAGGTCTAGACCGTTTCCGTTCTCAAACTTGTAGGGCTCTACCCTAAGAAGCTTCCAGACAAATATTAAGATTCTATATCTTTCAGTTCTTCAGTAGAAGTTGTTTAAAGTGTTTGACATATTTGACCCCTGTCACCTGATAAGTAGATCCAGGTTATTTCATTCTTAAATTTTGAGGGCTCCAACCCAAAAAGCTACCAGCCAAATACAAATATTCTATACCTTTCAGTTCTTCAGAAGAAGTCATTTGAAGCGTTTGACATATTTGACCTCCGTGACCTTGAAAGTAGGTTCAAGTCTTTTTCATTCTAAAATTCTGTTGGGCTCCTACCAACAAAGCTTTCAGCCAAATACCATGACTCTAAGCCTGTCTATTCTTCAGGAGAAGTTGTTTATAGGAAAAGTTGACGGACAACGACGGACGCCACACCATGACATAAGGGCAGGTGAGCTAAAAAATGAAAACACATTCTGATTGGCAAATCATATATTTGTATCATCTGTCATAAATCACCATATTTACATGTGTACATATCAATGAAAATCATCTACAAAAACCTGTCCATAAAGGTCACCTCTGTAATGAAAATACCTAACTATAAAGTCACCCATTTACACAAAATACTTGTTCATTAAGGTCAGACATTTATAGCATATACCTGCATATAAAGTTCAGCCTTATATATAAAATGTCTAGAAATGGAAACTCTGTACAAAAATGCCTGTCAATAAACACCATTCGTTAAGCCTATTACTTGCTAAAAATTACACACTTTTTATTAAATATATGTATATAATGAATTATTTGTGATAAAAGTCAGCTGTTTGCTTAGTGAAATTTCTCTCAGGTGGTCATTCTACAGAGGTCAATATATACAGGCCTGAACTTCAGGTGGTCATTATACACACCATATAAAGTTCTTAAACATTGAACACAAATGAAATAAATAAAACTCTGATTTCGTTAATCATTCTACATATGTACAATCATTTATGATACCTAAATCAAAACCAAATAAGAAATCCTTCTTTTGTGAACAAAGTCAGCAGAAGTCACAAAGTAATACCATCCCCCTCAATGATCTGTTGATTCAGAGGTCCAAAATACCATCCAGTCAGAAAACAATACAATTTTACAATGTAATTTAATTTTGTAACAAAGTCATTCAGAGGTTTGAACTTTGACCTCTTGTTGGGTGACCTTGAACTCCCAGATGCAGATATCAATGTTGATATTTGACATACTGGGTTATTTTTTCATTATAAACATATTAAGGAAAGTTAATTAATTTAGCAATAGATTTATCAGGACAGAAGTGTTATCCAACAGTTATACCAGGGTATTCACACAGTTAATTTAATTTAACAGAATGAAGTACAATTTGATATTTTATTCTAACAATCCTGATACCACATCAATCTAAATATGTCGAGAAAATATGTCAAACAAAACAGTATATTTCTCTTACTTCCCTTCCATTTTGTATCACAGCACAAGTACACAACAAGAATGACCTAAATATGTAAGTCCTGAGTGTGACCTTGAAAATGTTCACATATTGAGATATGTATCGCAGCAGCATCTCCAAATCAAACAGTAGATGTAGGCTACCCACAGAAGGCAAAAAAAAACAATTTTACCAAATTATGTGTAGGTATGTGTCAATCAAGCCTGAAGTAGCTGCACTACCGACTGATTTCTGTAGATTACACTGTAGCAACTAGATTTATCAAAGTAAAACATTGTACCCGATATATACCCAATAGTAATAATTAGGAGAATAGAACCGATGTGATATTCCGTGATACTGAATATCACTTATTGTCTAGTATACTGAATTGTGCACTTTTACATGCAACTCAATAATGAAGACTCCATAGTTAACTTTACAACATGGACTGTAAAACCGTGACTTAATGCCCATCTTGATAATTGTCATCTCGCTTTAAAACCTCCAATGAATTTCATCCTCTTTTTCACTTTTCTTAACAATTCCTTAAAATGAATTCCTCATTACATATCACAAAATCCCTTTATAGTGTCAAAATTTGGCTGCATACATCTTGTTTCATGTGTTAACAATTTTTTCTTAACTGACCAGTTCCTTTACATAACCCTCGATATATTACCAAACCCCTTTATAAAGCCTAAGGATTTCGCTCAACAAATGGTTGCAGTATAAAAGGTATTGCTGTACCTTGGTCAATGTTTGCTGTATAAAAGGTTTTGCTGTACCTTGGTCAATGTTTGCTGCCTGTGGAGACTAATATGAACTTACACTACATCAGTATGTTTAACAGACATATGTATCACACACACAAATCATTACAGTATCAACCAATCACATGCTGTTGGTAAAATCTGAGAATGATCACAGCCAGTAAATTTTATGAAATGCATTGATTTCTTTTTAACTTAGCACATATAAGTATATAATTAATTTTGAACATATTTGAAAGTAGAACCAATTTCTCCCATTGTATTCTATAATAGAAAAAACCCACAAGAGAACAAAGTTTCAGCTACAACCCTACAGAGTTCTAGTACCATTATATACAATACTTACTTAACTGACAATTAAGTCTTACTATACATCTAATGATTTGTCACTTGATGATAAAGCAACAGTTCAAGTTTAGTTATCATTGAAATCAAACAGCACATATGATTTTGTTTATCACACATGTAATTAAGTATCACAAATAACATCTAAATGGTTCATTCTTAAAACACAATCCTACAACCTCTGAAACGCACTACCATAAACAAGATAGAATGTATGAATGAAGCCCTGAGTATAAAATCAGCACATGTTTTATCTAATGATTTATTATTGGGAATCAGGTAAAAACATCACAATTGATGGATGGGTCAATGTCCGAACATTGATTTAAATTGTTAAATGAAAATACAATAAATTGCTGAAGAAACACATGTTAATGGATGAACTTGTATAAAATTGTATTGATTAAAGTATATGTTAATTGTATTAATGGTATATCTATGTACTGTAAAGCGCTTTAGAGTGGCTTATGTAAGCTAGATAGGGCGCTATGTCAAATGTTGTATATTTTTATTATTATAAAATACAACAAAAATAAAACTTTTTGAAAATTAATTATCATTATTTCAATTTATTGATACCATCAGTGAACGGGTATATATAATTCATGAATATCGTTTTTGTTTATAGCCATTCTCCATTGCTTTATTTGTCAATGTTTTCCACATAAAATAGCTAGAAATGATATACGTACGAGTGAAATGTCAACATCGAACATATGTTGTCACTCATGATGTCACTCTTTCCTGATATCATTGGATGATTAACACAGATATGCATTTGCAACAAAACATAGTACATGCTTTTTTCTCAGGGAAACAAAATAAAATCTGGTTTTATATTACCTATAACTAGGCATGATTTAAAATTGTGATAAAAACACAACATTTGATACCAGAAATATCACAGAATATCTGAGCATCAACCAAATAACATGATTTTCTTGTCTATGCAACAACATAGACAAAGTAAAATTAATTATGGGAAATAATGACCAATAGACTGACGCTGAGGTATGAACGACTAGACATTGATTACATTAATAATCTTAATGCCAATATAATTAAGTATGTTCCGATAACATAATTAGAGGTATGACATGTCACTTCCTTCGTATTAGCGTTTGATGCAATTTTCTAATGAAAACATTGGTATTTCCTTATCAGCTGGTTGGAATAGGGGATCATCTTTTCTGTGAAAATCTGATAATTTCACTTCATCACAATATTAACTTTATAAAAAATAGGTACACTTCTATATTAAATACATATATATTTGTGAACTCATGTTTCAGCAATCATCAACAATTTTTAAAATCATGATTTAACACTACGGATATCTATAATACTAGGAAACAGTGATTTATAATGACAGTGATGAACCTCATTTAGAGTTTACAAATTAGCTCCAAAAGCACTAAATTAGAATGACGCTAAAATGTACGGTTTACTGTGTCGCCCTGATGCATTTCTGCAATATTACGTTTCCCACATATTTACTTAACATCGCTACCTTCCTAAAACTTGCATTGTATTCTTAACATGGCCACCACCGTACCTACGAGTAGTTAAGTATGCAAAATGTTTAATTCGACTCCAGAATGCTACCAGGGCGGTAATGGTTCAAACCATATAAACATTAAAAAAACCAAAAAAACACTGGTTCCTCATTGTCACAAAATTCTCTAGAAAAGGCAGTTAAAATAGATATGTTAGCACATGTGTATTTCAAAATTTAACTTTACATAGTACTGTCTATCATGCTTGGATGCAAAATTTTCACAGGATACCGAATAAATAAATAAATTCTTTGTTTCGGATCTCCCCAAAATTTCAATTTTTTTATTCTGATTTAAATTGGCCTGTTTTATGAACTTTTGAAGTGAAAAAAGACAGCCTCAACTAAATGGCAAGGCTGTAGACCAAAACTGGCCGACACTGGTGTAGCACAATCTACTTTACACTGGCTACTGCTAGCTTTGCTGCTTCCTCAAATCCAAAAGCTGCCTTTATAGGGAGGTTACTTTCTTCTAAGATTTTTCTTCCTGCTTCTACATTTTGTCCTGTGAAAAAAACCATCAAAATTTTTAATCAAACACCATCTACGTACCACAGAGTTTGTTGTTCTCGATACATATATACCTTACAACAAACTAGAACCTTCAATCACCTTAGCAAATTTTGAATAATTTGTATTTACCATAAACCTCATAAGTAACCTTGACTATTTACAAAAACCTTCAGATATTTTCTTTCATCTTAAATCGATTAGCAATCTGTGTCACATTCTAATACTTTAGATTCCAGGTTAATTTGTTCAAATCAGGTGGATGTTCTACTGACATCTGGATCAAGTTAACAGGGTTATATTGATATAGAGCAGCCTGGTTTATCCAGCCACCATAAATTTAAAGCAAACGAAGAATAGAATAATGAACAAGTGTTGGCTACCTTCTAGTCGTACCACCAGGGGGAGCTTAAGGTCGATCCTCTGACAGGCCTTGAGGATACCAGTAGCTACGGTGGCACAGTTTACGATGCCACCAAACACATTGACAAGAATTCCCTTGACCTGCAGTTTGTAAAAATCAAGATTTGTATAATAGAGAATACATTTAGTTATATTTTCGTGATTGTTCTTCAAAGATGTATTCAGGAGGTCTTGTATACACAAAATTATTCCTTGTTTAAATAATGTCTGCTCGATATTTTTGAATTGCAATCAGACTCCCTTCATAAACAACAATACACAAAATTAGACATCTTGTACAATGAAAATGATGCAACAAGCTAAAAGATGAAAACTGTTCAAAAGCCCTGTTTATAAACATGTCCATAGTCAAACCTCAATAGGGCTCTGGGGCTATTCCAGTAAATTATTTTGTCCCTCCCATGGACTCCAGGTTTTGTTTAGGGTAACTATCCATAGAATATAATTAATAATCTACAAAGAAGTCATAGTCAGGAAACCCATCAATGGATAGAAGTGAGTTATTTAAGAGACCTGGGGTCAGGAATTGCCCTTATAGTGGAGCCGGATTAAGTCAGACAATTTGGAATATACACACTTTCATCATAGAAGTGCATTAATAATCTGCATAGAAGTAAAAGACAGGAAACTCATCCCTGGCATAAGTAAACTATTTTTGAGTCATAAGTCATGATCATGATTAATGGAAGGAGAACTCTCTTCAGAATATATTTTAAGAAATGGAATGCGTACATGTGAATCTGCAGTAAGGAGCTGGAATGCATCGTAAACTTGCTGTTCTGATACACCGCCTCCCACATCCAAAAAGTTGGCTGGTTCTCCTCCGTGAAGTTTGATAATGTCCATAGTTGCCATGGCAAGACCTGCTCCGTTCACTAGAAAAAGTGGATAAAGGGAGATAATCAAAAACAAATTTATTGACTATTTAAATATCAGAGTGTTTTGGCCTTTGGAACAGCTGCAGCTATGTCACGGAGATTGTGAGTGGATGATTATATTTATCAATGGTACGGTATCACTGGGGTTACGTAGGTGCTAGAGTACCTCTGGATGTAGGGGTAAGGCGTGGCGTCTACCGTACACGGTGAATTACGTGTTGCTCGTGAATTACCTGGGGTAGGGGGTTGTCTTATACAGGGTGTATAGGGGGTAGTGTCATTCAAGCTGTTGCAGCCAGACAGTGCGCTTGTGGTATTTACCCCCCCCCCCCCCCCCCCGGTCAACGTGGTAGCGAGCAATAAAGAGTTAATTTGTTTTGATGTTACTTGCCATTTGGTGTATGCTTTCAGGTTTATAGGCTTTGGCATATTACAGAGCTGCTAGGACAGATCCTTTGGGATTGGGACTTGGAGCTAGAGGAACAGTCGCTCAGGAACAGCCGTGCACAGTCGCGTGTTGTTGCCGTGTTTTTGTATTTCCACAATAAAAGCGCTAGCTGCAGTCAGCTATTTCCTATATTACAGTGTTGAGTTGTAATTGATAAATGATTTATGTTCGTTTGAACTGGTGAATTAGAACATAAAGGAAATTATTTGGTACTCTAATCGCATTGATCTGATATTTTGCAACATCACCAGATTTTACGACCCAATTATAATCACAGTCAAATTGCTGGTCAACATCAAGACTGATTATACCATGAGGCATTGATTTGATACTTTACAACTTCATGATATTGACCCAGTACAACAGAATTACCTAAACATCCGATGCTGCCCTCCAGTCCAATATAGTTTAACTTGAGTCTGCTGGCCTCTATCTCTCGTGGGTCTGTTTCACTTGTGTCCTCCATTTCAAATATTTCCTTTTGCCGGAATTCTGCATTGTCGTCAAAATTCAACTTGGCATCAAAGCAAACCACTGTTAAAAGACAAAAGTAAAAATAAATAATTTACACAGTATGATCAAATAGTACACTTTATACAATATTACATTTAGGGGTATATTCACAGCTGAAATAAGTGTTCAAACCCCCTGTCCAAACCCCAATGGTTTATAAGCTACATTTTCCTTTAAAACTCCATTTAGTAACTATTTACACAATTATGTATATACTATACACTGTCCCTCAGAGAATCCCTTTATCTCGTATTTTTTCACAATCCCAACTTAGTACTTCAACATAATTAGGTTCTACTGTGTGATAAAATTATTAGAGCTGATTTACCTCGTCCATCTGGTGTCTCTCCAAATGGATTGATCTCTAGCTGTGTGGCGTCCACCTTGACAAACAGGTTGTACAGACGTGTGATCTGTGTGGCTGCCTGCATTAAGTGTACAACTGATTATTTCATGGGGCTGATTTACAGATTCACATATCTTCAGAAACAATTTTGTATTAAACCAAATGAAACACCACTGAAAACTGGCATACCTTTGTATATATGTGGGTAAGTTATTGATGCATCATCTGAACAAGAGAAAATCAGTAAAATGCAGAGCCCAAAAAACAGCATTATAAGCACACACCCTTTGACATAAAAGCAGACATTTAATTAATTTAAACAATCTTTAAAGATCTTGAAATCTATCTACCTGTTTCAACTTCATCAAAATTAGAAAGTATCAAATCATAATTTTGCATTTAAATAAATTTAAAACTGCTGAAGTGAACCTGATTGTAATAACAGAATGTTTAGAGGAAACCTCCCTGACCTACTTTCTTTCACTGAAGTTATACCTGTTGTAGATGCTCTCCTGTAAAGTCTAGTTTTTCTGCCATCCTTAGAGCCTGCTCCTCAGTTATACCCGTCACAATGTCCACAGCCTCCTAATAATGAAACAGATCACACTTTACTTAGCATAACCTCAAATCATCAATGATTTCTCTTTCTATAACACAATTACTGTGTAAATACATAACTTTAAATACATTATTTTACCAGTATCAGACAGCTAAGCATTGGGTAATATCAGATATCAATAAGGGTGTTTTCATAAGTAACGGACTCAGTCTTAAGTCCCCTTGTGGGCCATGATGACCAACCCTGTTCGGCTGTGAGGTTTAGAGTATTTGCTAGTGCTAGAAATCCGATGTGCTGGTAGGCACTGGTGTGTCAGGTCTCTACAGCAATTTTATAGATATTGTTCGTTTTGGGCAACCCTTAGTGTAATCAATGATGGACTGTACCAAATCAATGTGAAAAAACATACAGTAAAGTGAATTCTTTTGTTAGGACTTTTCAAAACAAGTGTACTACGAAGCCACTTGTCTTTTAATGTATGCAGTCCCTACAACAGGAACTCACTTTTCGATTTTTCACTATACATGAACTTATTTTTTCTGTAACAAATCCAGGGAACTTAAGTTACAGTCTTTAAATCAAGTTCATTTTATTATCAAACTGAATGAAAGCCATAGACTTTGAAAGTGAAAGTGTCAAATAGACGATTTGATAAAATTCAAAAATTGTGTAATACAAAAATAAACATTTGGGATTATTCTAAAACTTTACACGGAAAGCTTAGAAAATGGATCATATGTGCCCAAATGATAATCCACTGCATTGATTTGAGGTAAAATTTCCTATCTGAAAGCAGTGTGCATTATTTGAAGGGTTTTGAAAATGTAAAGCACTGAAAACTTCACTTCTCAGAAGGGGAGAAGTAATCAAAGTATGATTGTAACTGATCTATCAGCTTGAGCTTTATTTTTTCCCTGACCTCCGTACTTTGATAATTGAGTCTGGATCTTTTTCTGCTGTTTCCTCGATGTCCACACCTCCATGTTTACTGCCAACCATGACCGGGCCGTTGTACCCTCGATCCATCACAATGGCGAAATAGGTTTCTTTAGCAATGTCTAGAGCTTCTGCCACCATCACCTAGGCAACAGATACAAGAAAAAAAAATAAGTCTCACAATCTCCTTGGAAACACTCGAAGCTGCTGCTACCATCACCTCGGCTGCTAACACCAGAGATTTTGATAGGTCTCACAGTCTCCTTGAAAACACTCATTTTACCAATACCTAGGTAACAGCCAAACAGAAAATGTCATTGGTCCATATAAATACCAACATGATAAAACCTGCATAAAACATGTGTTTTATTTTATTTTTTATTTTTTTATATTGTGATCTGAACCGTTTCATCTCAAAAGTTTTATGGTGCATGTTATATATACCCCTACTAAATAGCACTAGAATTTACATGTAGAAAAGTTCATACTTTTATTTCCAGAACAAATTATCAAGGTTTTAAACTTTGCACATTACCATTAAAATTCAATAGCCCTACCTAACTCTATATTAGAAGGTCAATGTATTTGTATACAGCAAGACCAAATTTTTTGAAGATATTTTTTGAGGCTATGGATATACAAAGAACTCCAGTTTTAGAAATCTTTTGATATATCTAAGTATCATTCTGTCTTGGACAAACTACAATCATTAATAACAAGTCATTATGTATCAGTGCTAACTTGTTAATTGTGATACAAATGTACCGACCTGGTTGACCTTGACCCCATCAGCTGAAGTCTGTTTCGTTGTCAGTTTGTTACCAAGCATGTTTTCAACAATCCCTTCTACTTTGGATGGACTGAAAAGAAATTAATGGCAGGTAAGACTTTCCGTTATAAAAGTTCTCTGGTGGCCTCAAAACTTTTTACATATTGTCTACAATACAGAAAAAACACTATCCACATGACACAAAACAGCATTTTTGTGATTATTGGTGCTACTTCTGAAAAGAAATGTTGATAGTAAGGAACTTCAAAATCAAAATTTATGAAAAAGAGAAAGTGCTAAAATGATATGCATCAAAGTTTGTAAGGAATCTTACTCTTTCGTTAAATGCACGCCTCCCTTGAAGCCGTTAGAAAATGTCCCCTTGCCTCTTCCACCCGCCAGAATTTGAGCTTTAATTACATATTCATCCACCGCTGAAAAATTAACATATGAAATTGTGATGTTCATGATCTATACAAAAATTTCAATACACAAATATTAAAGCTGGCCTTTACTAGAAAAGTTTTATGCTCAAAATTTAACACCGACCATTTTGCTAATTCTTACACAAATCTTGATATTGACCTTCATTAGATTTAAATCACAAACCCAAAGATGGACCTTCAGATTCAGTAAAATTATTTCAGCAGTGATACCATAAGACACATTCAAACAGAAATAAATAAGGATATTAGAATGTTTTAAGTGATTTTCTCATACAACATTACCCAACAATATTATAATCACTATGGATCATATACCAATTAATACTTAACTTAATTTATGTATAAGCTAGCAGCACATTATACCAGGTATATTTTATACAATCTACAAATCACCCCACAAAGTCACAAAGTGATACCTACTTAGTCTTTCCGCAGCAGTTTTAGCTTCGTCTGGACTACTGGCCATTACAAATTTTTGTACAGACACACCGCCATCTTCCATCAACTTTTTACTCTGGTATTCTTGTAGATTAAGATTTCGAGACGGTATCGTAACTGCAGCCGCCTGAAATTGAAACCATATAGTGGAGCATGATTAACAACTACCAATCCCGTTTGTGATAGAATTTATAGTACATATTTATTTTCTTGCACTAAATATGCAGCATTTTTACAGTAAACAAAAGGTTTTGCAATTAAGTCACTTTAGCTTTGAAATATAGTGGCTATATCTATGAAACTTTCCACTACAAACTGTCATTCAGATTTAGAAACAATAAGAATAAAATTGCATTTATTTTCATGTCAACTAAAAAGACAAGTTGAATGTACAAGTAAATCAAAAAGCTCAACTAAAAGTATCTTTTTATTCCTTCATTTATTTTCATGACTTGCGATGAACATAATAATTGAGCGATCTAAGCAAGGTCACAGATGGCGAGCCCCTGAGGCTGTGTCTAGTAGAGATGTCATATATGCATGTGGATACTTAGCAAGAAGGTCAGGGATAGTGACCAGAAGAGTCCAGTAAGTATCAGAACAGGGAGTCTAGGATAGTGAACCAGGGTGTATATCCTGCAATATCTGGGATAGTGGAACAGTTTGGTGACTGTGAATCAGCTTGTACCCGACAGGGTCTGGGATAGTGAACCAGTAAATATCCTAGAAGGGGGTTTGGGATAGTGAACTGTATCCTAACAGTTGATTCTGGGATAGTAATCATGAAGCGGTGTCCCTGGCAAGGGGTCTGGGATATAGTGGAACAGTGAGTATCCTAAAATAGGAGGTCTGGGATAGTGAATGTGATTTGGTGTTTAAATACCTGATAGGGGGTCTGGGATAGTGGACCAGTATACTAAAATAGGGGTGTGGGATAGTGGATGTGAATCAGTGTTTTAATACCCAATAGAGAGTCTGGAATAGTGAATGAATCAGTGTACCTGGCAGGGGGTTTGTGAAAGTGACTGTGAACTGGTGTCCCTGGCAGGGGTCTGGGATAGAGGACCAGTTCGAATTTGTATCTTAAAAGTTGGGTCTGAAATATTGACTGTAAAATAAAATTGGTGTATATATACCTGACAGAGGGTCGTTCTGGGATAGTGGAACAATACAAGCATTTTAATAGGGGGGTCTTGGATAGTGACTGTGAATCGGTGTGTATCTGGCAGGGGCCTGGATGATGAACCAGAAAACATTCTAGTAGGGAGTCTGGGATAGTGAACTGAACCAATAATTTATTCTAGCTGGGGGCTCAGGCTGATGATTGTAAAATCTGCATGCATATGGCAAGTGCCAAGTTCAAGGGGTCTGGGATTGTGGACGAGTCATGATCATGATCAATCAGTATGTTTCTGAGGGGTCAAGGATAGTGAACCAGTAAATATCCTTGCTGGGGATCTGGATTATATAGTAAACAATTTTTCTAGTAGAGAGTTTAAAGAGAGTCATAATGACTGTGAATCAATGTATTTTCCAGAAAGGAGGTCAGGCTGAGGGACTAAGACTAAGAAAAATATTCTGGCCTAGTGTCCTACTTAGATAAGGTTTGGCCGAACAGCTGGTTCATTCGGATGCGATAACCCCTGTATATTACATATGGCAAAGTCCGAGGTAAACCAAATGCGAGCACTGGTAATCTAAGAAGAAAATATAGACGATCATTTAAGTGACAAACACTAGCCATGGATCATTCAAATTTGACCAAATTGAACATATTACGATAATGTGTTACTGCCAACCTTCCGATTCCATCTGCTTTTGCATAAACATCGATACGACGAAAGTCGCATGGACGACCGCAAAATCTGCATAGGCGCAGCCATATCTACAATCTCGCGAGAAGTTGTTACTAGCCTCACTACCTTGACATTCTATACTATTACGCATTCAAATAAAGTCCTACATTAGTTCTACCAGTATCATAAAAATTGGCCGAAATTATTAGATTTAACAGAATTGTGTGGTTAAAACACATACATTCTATTTTAATTTAGGATAATTATTAGTATTTACATTTTTGAAAAAGTAAATGACGGCGAAAAATCCATACGAAAATTTGTTCATCCGCCATCCTGGTCCTTGCTCATCCTGGTTCTTGATGAAACACCCGGACGAAAACATCGAAGTAAGATTCTCAGCTAACCCACGTGGTGGAAGAGGACACAACTGTCAAAAGTTGTGAATGAATGAAAACGCGTTAAAACTCAAGTCTGTGACAAATACTACTTGGAATTGTTTGTTTTCGACAAAACTTCCAAAACAAAATGGCGTATGCCCATACACTTTTGACAAGTGATGTTTTTAGGCTCCACAAAAAATATGAGTCCAGACGGCAAGTGTCTGTTAGGTGAAATATGACTATTAAAATATGGTGCTGAACAAGTAGGTGATGCAACTTCTTGAGAGGCATGTTCTCCATACAATCTCATGCTAAGTCTGCTTATCATAATTAAAATTAGAAAAAAATGTTTCTTAATAAATGCATCGTACCAATTAGGAAAAATTTCTAACCTGGAAATAAATATTTTCCTAACTGACGTTGGCCACGGCAGCTGGGTACTGTAGTAAATGACTATTTGTCCGGTAGACGAATAGAATAGTCTACCACAACAGTTCGACCCAGACAAAGCACAGGAGCCTGGAGTTCTGTCAACAATGAATAATAACAGTAATACAAAATAAATACCTAATATTTTTTAAGCACATTATAGGTGTTTTTTTTTGTATTACTGTTATTATTCATTATTGACATAACTTCATGCAGGCTCCTGTGGACAAAGTGAATATATGTGTAAATTACAAATGAAGCTAAATATTGCCATAAGAAAGTATAGCTTGATCTTATGCATTCAACAGGTTGGGCACAATGGCGCATATTATGCCATTTATGGGTAATAATCCTGCATTTGGGTATTACAGTTACCCATTTGCAGTAACAATTTTATTACTGAGATGGGGGAATAAAGTGAAATGGGGCAAAAAAGGGTGTCATTCTTTCAACATAATTCAATAAAAAATACAATGAGGTACAATTGGGCACAAAAAAATGTAATTCAGTTGTCTAAATGTTTGTGAAAATGACAAACTGAATCGATCGCCTCCATTGCTTATAGTGATCTGTAGAGCAGCTACAGTTGTCTAAATGTTTGTGAAAATGACAAACTGAATCGCCTCCATTGCTTATAGTGATCTGTAGAGCAGCTATAAATAGAACACAGAAAAAAAATCATGCTCACCTGTCACATTTCCACTGGATGATCCCATTGACTAACGTAAGTGCAGGCAAATTCGTCACATTAGTAAGAGTTTCGGTATAATTTGTCCGAAAACGCATGTATCAAATGCAGACGAGCACCAGTACAGAAGAAGATTGGACTGGAATGCCTAGAAATACACATTGTTGTAAACACGCATGAATGACGTCACGCAGCAACATTTGTGACGTCATCAGGCCTTCCATGGTTTTGCAAAAAGGTGCAGGCAGTTTCGCCACCTTCAAACATTTCACTAATTTGCAAGTAATGTAATAGTTTAAATGTAATATTTTGTATGTTTATGTTACACAAGCCGTACTAGATACGAACAGCTCCAAATGTGTGTGTATAAACAATGATTAACATTGAAATAGATGGCTTTTCTTAGTTGTGATAGTTAATTTTCGGTAGCTTGAAGAAACTGATTATAATGCTGTTTGAGTATCATGGCTGGGATCGGCAGAGATGAGGTCAATACTCATGCATCGCAATAAAGACTCAGTCCTGAACAAATTTAAACTTCCAAATCGATACCCAAAACTATATTTTTCATCGGGTCCGGATGAGAGGGTCCAGGGCTTTCAACAGTCGTCCTTTCCCCTCGAATTTTGGATGATTTGTCACATCATCAGTGTCCATCTCGAAATCGTATTGCACGTAAACAGGACACATCTAACAAATTAAAAAAAATTGGGGGGCTTGAAAACTTATTCAACAAAGACTGCCCGGCCAGATGTTGTAAGTGTGCTTACTTTTTCATGTAAAAATCAGTCTTTGGTAACTGTCAGTCTCTATACATGCATTCAGCGATTGCACACCAGTTTTTTCAGGCCAACAATTTTTTTTCAGAAATAAATTTAGAAAATTTAGATTTAACAGTATTTTTTAAAAGCTACTGGTTGATTGTTTTCTAAGTAGCCTAATGAATTTCATAATTGTTTTAATTAATAATATAACTTTTCCCTTCTTGTACCTGTCCTTGTCAAAATATTTGAAAGCTTTCACTGTTTTGAAGACTATGGTGACACTATTTATGTCACATCTTATGTATTATGACGTCATATGGCATTTTTCGTTTCGGGGTGGCAAATCTGGGTGTATGGCGATTTTCGCCTGCGCTAACATTACACACTGAAGTCAATGGAGAGCAAAGTCAGTGATATGGTTTGTCATTTTTAGCTCACCTGGTCCGTCGTCCATCCGTCTGTCAACTTTTCCTATAAAACGATACTAGTCATGAACGACTGAGCAGATTTTAACCAAATTTGGTCAGAAGCATCCTTGGGGGAAGGTGAACAAATTTGTATAAATTGTGGGTCTGGCCCCCCTGGGGGCTGAGGGGCGGGGCCCAATAGGGGTAATATAGCAAATTATTCTTTAAAATCCTTCTTCTGTAGGAATGAAAGTATTTGTTCCATATTTGGTCTGAAGCATCCTTGGGTAAAGGGGAACCAATTTTGTATAAACGGTGGGTGTGGCCCCCCTGGGACCTGAAGAGGGGGGGGGGGCAATAAGGGAAATAGAGGTAAAACCTTTATAATCCTTCTTCTACCATAGGTATTAAGGGATATTATCCTAATTTAATCGGGAGCTATCTTGGGCAAAATGGACCTAATTTCGTATAAACAGCGAGTGTGCCCCCCCCCCCCCCCCTGGGGGCAGAAGGGAGGGGCCCAATGGGGGAAATATAGCAAATTCTTCAATGGCAGGATTTTGTCAAAATTGAATATGAAACACCCTTGGGTGAAGGGGAACCAATTTTGTATAAACAGTGTGTCTGACCCCCTAGAGGCAGAGAGGCAGGGCCCAATAGGGGAAATAGAGGTAAGACTTTTAAAATCTTTCTTCTACCATAGGGATTAAGGTATTCAGGTGAGCGATACAGGCCCTCTGGGCCTCTTGTTACAAAATGTTAGACATCAGAATTGATAACTTTTTTGTGAACAAATGTACTTCATTGTGTTTTATATTGGATTTAGTCTAAAGAATAACGCCCTTTTTACTCCAAGTGTTAAAAAGAACTTTATGTGTTTTTATTTCACTTAATTCCCCATCTCGGTAATAAAATTGTTACTCAAATGGGTAACTGTTACCCAAATGTAGGATTATTACCCATATGCGCCATTGTGCCGAACCTGTTTGATAATATTTAAAAACATTCACACAGATTTTTTTGTGTTCCTAGTTCAAATAAGTTGGGAAAATATGAAATTGGTTAATGTTGCCCAAGTTTGATGGAAAGTATTAATACAAACACATGTATAAACCAGGACAACTTTTGTCTAATACCATTTTACTATGTGCAAAAAATGAATATAAATGGATAAAAAACCTTACATAATTTGTTTGTTAAAAGTTGATTGAAAAGAGTCTGACGTTTAATCAATATTCGTATAACAGTCTGTATATATTAAAAAAATACCCCATATACTATTTTTAAACGTCAGACTCCTGTGAAAAGAGCAGAAATACTTATAATACGTCGCTTTCTATGTACTTTTTTCTATCAGCTAGGATTAGTTAGCACTGAAAATCTAAAGATGTCCACAACAACCCTGTTGTGCAGTTCCGGACCGCATGTTTAACATATAAGAGTACATGATATGGTCAGTAGATATCCCTTTCATGAAGGATATGAAGTTTCAGCCATTTTCGTCCAAATTTATTGATGTTTTCAATCAACAAATTAAGTTGGTTTGCAACTAATTTTTCTTAACACCAGAAGTACACATGCTCCCTTATATTAATGTACCATGTGATCAACAAATTATTTGGATTCTATTCCTGAAACTTTATATTACTGAGAGAGAAAAAATACTCTAAATTTGGGAGAAAAAGAAAAGATTTATAACTTTAAATATGATTGATGTGAATTTCAGGAATAAAAGAGGTAGTCAACAGAGAGCATGGAGGTTTTGTCGGAAGAGAATTCCCCGGACCTTTCATCTGTAGACACCACCAGTATGACGGATCTGGCGACAGTGAACATCGGTGGTGCCGTGGGGGATTTGTGTGAGGTAGCAATAGGCGAATCTGTGGTACCCACAGTTAAAGAGGAGGGCGGTATGAGCAACGACAGTGTGTGTGCAATAATCAAAAAGGAAGTAGACAGTGAAGAACCAGCCTCAGAAAATGTTCTACGATTAGAATCCGGTATTGCTGATGGTTACATTATATTATCCAGAGAAGCTGCAGGTATGTGAGCTACATGAGCTGGTTGTTGTAGAGATTATATCAAGACTGTTCACATAGGCTGGACTTGTGTTCCATCCACTTGTTAAGCAGGCTGTGTTAAGTACATGTATGTTTTAATCTAAGCTGTACAATACTTTCAATTTAAATTTCATCAAAATGCATTGCAATATAAACTTTATATTGCAATTCATTTTCATGAAATACTTTATATTGCAATTCATTTTCATGAAATTTAAATTGAAAGTATTGTACAGCTTAGATTTTCAACAAAAAGATGTCTTATTTAGAAATATGTCTGAAGAAATAAGAATGAAGCCAAAAAAATGGCAGAATTCACTGTAGTGTTTTAAAAAATGTGAGTGTTACTTGCTATATAAAGTTCTGACGGGGGTTGATGTACTTAATTTATGCCTGGATGTTAACTTTTGTCCAGAGCTAGAACAAAACAACTGTTAAATGTATCTCTAAAAACCCTGTCAGCAACTGTTATACTCTGCTTAAAGAATTGTTAAGGAATTCAAAACAAATGCTTGAAACAGAACAAGATATTATTGAGGACAATTCATTGCAACCATGAAATGTGCATTTTGCAGGGGAAAAAATTAACAGCATTTGTTTTGTAACACTGTAAAAGGAATATTTGATTTCCCTCAGATGCTTTTAACCTTCTTTTAGCTTTAACAATTATCAGTAGTTCAGTAATTTAACACAGAGATATGGAAGAAAATCTATACCATTCCCTTCAAAATTAGTAAAAACACAAAACTACAGTGGCTTCAATTTAGAATCAATCAACAGATTTTAACTACTAATTCATATCTTTATAAAATAGGTCTTGTTAATAGTCCATATTGTTTTCATTGTAAAACTGACACAGAAACTATAGTTCATGCATTATGGGAATGTAAAGAAGTACAAGTGTTTTTAACAGATTTTGAATCATTGCTAGATGTGTTATTAATTCCATTTGCTTTTAATAAAGAATCTTTTATCTTTGGTTTCTATGATAGAAAAAACAATGTTGATAATTTAGTACTTCTTATCATTAAACTATATATTTATAAAGCTAGATGTCTGCAAACTGGTCTATCAGTTTTAGCTTTGAAAAACTTAATTAAAGATATTTACAATACTCAAAAATACATTGCTGTAGGTAATGGTGAAAATTATCTCACTAATTTTAAAAGGGAATGGAAAAAATGGGAAAGATTACTGCAGGCCATATAAATGAAATGTAAATTAATTATAATAATATAGTACCAATGTAATTCCTGTTAAAGGTAGCCTATGTACAAAAATTTACACAATATTGAACAATAAGCCCTTGTCAAATCCTTCGACACCTCTCCAACCTTCCTTTTCGTTCTTGTCCCTCACTCTCTTTTCATTACTCTTTTCTTTCCTATATCTTCTTCTAAAACAATACAATTGTACATAACACCTAATATCCTGGTTTCAACATGTGAAAATAGCCAAACTGGGTTTTTTTTCGTTTTTTTTTTGTATTTGTTTGCTTCTCAACTACAATGTATACAATATTATTCTATGTATCTTGTTTCAAACTTACGAAGAAAATAATTGTTTTTCTAAATATAACAATGTTAAAAAAATGTCAAGACAAACAAAAAACTTGTGTGAAAATTAAGAATGTGAGACTGAAATATGATGTGTTATGTTTAATGTACTGTTGATTTTTTTTTTTTTTTTTATCAGTAGTTCATTTTATTTCCTTTATTTTCTCAATTACAGCAGCTTTTAAAAAATCCATGAGTATTTGTATTAAATTATTATATAGAAATGTTTGAAAAAAATATCATTGTGATCAGTACCTTTGAATAATACTGGTTATAAATGTCTGCTTTCTACATGAAGCTTCCTTGGGTATGAATTCTGACACAGCTACTGTTGAGACAGATGTCACTGAGCCTGCCAACAAGAGATTTAGGTTCCAGGGTGAGGATGGACAGTCGTACGTCCTGACTGTGGCAGACAGCACCAATGGAGAGAACCCAGACATCACACTGGATGACCAGCACAAGAATCAAGCCACTGCAGCTGTTCAGGTATGTCTAGCTAGCTGTTTAAACAATTGTTGGCTCATAAACTTAGAAGTATGGTTTATGTCAGAGTTTCATTATAACAAAGTTATCAACATTTGAACCTCAGTTTTTGTGTCGCCTACGACGGATGTCGGAAAGACACATACATGAAGGCGCTGCTTTTCCGACGGCGTCATCAACAATGTTAAGGTTTTGCGTTTAGCTCTGTTTCTGACAAAGCTACACCATCAAAACCTTGATCATAGATGTAGCATGGGTAGTGGAGCCTTCTGCACTAAAAACATTTCCTTGATTTCTGCATTTTTTTGGTAAAAACCTCAAATTTCTGGACTTAGAAAAAACTCAACGTTAAGGTTTTGCGTTTAGCTCTTACATATTAGGCTGTTTCTGACAAAGTATAAATGCTAGAGCAACCAAACTTGGGTCATAGGTGTATCATGGAATGTATAGCTGAATGCATTACACTCTTTACTAGCATTTCAACGATTTCTGTATTTTTTTGCTAAAAACCTCAATTTCTGGACTAAGAAAAAAACTCAACGTTAAGGTTTTGCGTTTAGCTCTGTTTCTGACAAAGCTACACCAACAAAACCTCGATCATAGATGAAGCATGGGTAGTGGAGCCTACTGCACTAAAAACATTTCATTGATTTCTGCATTTTTATTGAAAAAAACTCAAATTTCTGGACTTAGAAAAAAACTCAACGTTAAGGTTTTGCGTTTAGCTCCTGCATATTAGGCTCTTTCTGACAAAGTATAAGAGCTACACCAACCAAACCTCAATCATACATGTATCAGGGGTAGTAGAGCCTACTATAAAAACATTTCATGGATTTCTGCACTTTTTCGGATAAAAACTTGAAATTTCTGGACTTTGAAAAAAAAACAATGTTATGATTTTGCGTTTAGGTCTGTTTCCTTATGTACTATGTCAAATGCTTATTATATTGACAAAGCAGGACAGGCGTCACATATAATTATGCGTAATTCTTGTATTGTCTTGCGAGACAAAGGTGTTGCTTTTCAGGCGACAGCGTCAACATTAAGTTTTTACGTTTAAGTTAGTTTCTCTGAAAGTACAAGTGCTACACCAACCAAACTTGGACCATATATGCATCTTAGGTAGTACATCTCAACTTATGCATCAAATGCTGGATGCAGCCTATCTTTCATGGTTCATTGACTTTTTTTGCATTTAAGTTGGTTTCTCTGATATGTGCATTGATGGTCAAAGCGGAGCATAGGCAAAACATATCAATTTGAATGGCTTGTTTTCCTTTAACAAGAGGGTGAATTCTAAAAGAAATGAAAAATATAAACATTATTGTGGCAATTGATTGAGGTGACAAATGAATCTTGGGGCATTATAATGAAGGTTTACTGTAGATATTTATATTTTTCATGTCTTTTTAATCAACCAGATGGAAGAACAACAGCTTCCTTTAGCAACAGCAATGGCTTCCACTGTTAATGTTCCGTTAGTGACAACCACACCATCTGTGTCTGAGCAGCTCCTGGGACAAGGAAATACGGGCAAAAAGGCCCCCGGCAACTCTGACGTAACTCAGGCCTGGTTTACCACCCGGTTTGATAAGGTCGCTATGCAAAGTAAAGGTGGGTATCGCAAGGATAAAATATAGCAAAGTCAGCAGGTAAAGCTATTGCCTGTATATTGTTTCATTGTTGTTTCGTGTAGTAGCCATTTACTGTTCTATTGACATGTAATTCTTAGATATGTATGAAATAGGCCAAACTGTTTGTATCTTTGAACTTAATGAGTAATATACCTGACATGAATAAACTTTTTCTGACACTATTTTTAAAAGAAGGTAATTCAATTGCAACAAGTCAGGGATAGGTTTGTATACTAATTGCTTTGTCTACCAGTTTTGCTCAGTGGGCTTCTTCGAGATAGTTTTCATTGAAATTTCTTACCCTTATTGTTCTAAAATTCATTGTGTATCCATATATATATAATGTGAAATAAATATTAGAACTATGTATGTTCAATATTTATGTTTTTTCCTTCAATATTTTGGTGATTTATTGTAGGAGCCAGCTGGAAGCAGGGTCAGTGGACTAAAGAAGAAATAGATGTTTTGCAGTGCAACATTGATGCATACTGCAGGGTATTTATTTTGTTATAGTCTAATGATAGTGGGGACTTAGTTGTTAGTTTAATAATAAAAATCCTGGCAGGGTTTTGTAAATTGTAATTACATTGTACTGGTGAAACACATATGTATCATAGAGAAAAGGAGAAGGGATTTAAAGCTGATTTATAGTGTACCCCTGTCGTCCACTCCAAACAAGTAACATCTAGACTGATGGACATTATTTGACAGTGTCCATCTTGTCAAATCTTAACTGTAAAATCTGAAACTTTGGAGATATGTGGATTCATAGCAAGACAGTGTGTTGCAGACCATTTTTGAGATCAAATTTCCAGTGAGAAATCCAGATCAATTATTGCACTGCTTTGAGGTAGCATAATTTATGAAACTGGCAATAAAATGATTATGACTATCTATACTTGTAGAGTGATTCACATACCACAGTCTTTATGACTTTAACACAAAGCTCAGGGCCACAGTAAGGACTGAAATCATTGTAACGTCTGTCCTACATGTAACTATCATTGCAACGTCTGTCCTACATGTAACTATAACATTGCAACGTCTGTCCTACATGTAACTATAACATTGCAACGCCTGTCCTAAGTGTTTATCTTGAACTTCTTTTACAGGAGCGTGGTATCAGCGATCCTACTGAAATCATATTTGGCATGTCCAAAGACGAAAGAAAAGATTTCTATAGGACAGTTGCCAAAGGTTTACAGCGTCCATTGTTTTCTGTGTATAGACGTGTCACCAGAATGTATGACCAGAAGAATCACATGGGCAAATACTCTCCAGAGGAAATGGCCAAACTGAGGGAGTGAGTATTGCTTCAGAGGCTGTGTATTTGATCAACATTTGATGTCATTTATAGATTATGTGTGATAGACAAAGATAATTTCTGCTAAAAAGATTTACAAGGCCATACTGTATGAAAACACTTACATGTACATTTGGATAAGATAAACATTTTGTCTAGTAAGAAACATTAGCAGTAATTAAGGTATTTGTCTGAAAATTCATTTAAATATTTTTACAAAAATCAGAATAGATAATTGGCTGTAATAAAAAGGCAGAGTGATTAGTTAACGATCATTTATAACACTGAATTGTAGTGGAATGTCTTGTGTTGACAGCTAACTCAAAATATTAATAACACATATCTTTTGCAGATTACGTTGTAAATATGGCAATGATTGGGCATCCATAGGGTCTGTGTTGGGGAGAAGTGCTTCATCTGTCAAAGATAAATGTCGGCTGATGAGAGATACATGTAATTCAGGTAAAATCTCTTGTTTATGCATGTACAGAAATAGTGTAAACCTTTGTTTTCACCATGACACCTGTTTGCTCCTCAAAATTTTAAAATAAAGAAAACATTATCCATTTGGAATTTTCCTTGTTGTTCAATAATGGAAATGGCTAGATAAAAATATATGTCAGCTGTAACTTTATGGAAATTTGTATATTTCTGTGTGCATCATATTTGATTGAAGCCTCTTAATTCTTGTTTATCCTTTCTTTATGTGATTTACAGGTAAATGGTTGCCAGAAGAAGAACACAGACTTTCAGCAGCAGTTTATGAACTAGCAGGTGTCAAACCAGGTACAGTCATTGTGTAAATGTATATTTATTACAGATTGTATATATAGGATCTTACACTAGTTTTCATTTCATATGAGATTTATGAAACAAGTCTTAAGAACTTTTCAATTAGCGAGCCTCTGGCGAGCTAAAATGAAAAATTTGTGACGAGTTTCATAAATTTCATATGAAATGAAAACTAGTGTAAGATCCTTTGTATCACATAATCAAGATTTGTTGCATTTATTCTGACGTGTAAAACGACAATTTTCAGGCAACTTTGAAATGTAAAAAGCCGCCATTTTGACTCCAGTGCATAAGTCTACGACATCATGTACTTGTCCTAGGTGTAACGTCACAATTGAAACAATTGAAACTTACAACCAATCACAGGGCTGATAGGTCATATTACATATTACATGGGTTAACATGCAAAAAAATATGACATGGGTATATTCACTGGATAACACGGTAAATTATGTGATAAATATATTTCTCATTTATGTATACTGCACTTACTCCCCCGCAGCATAATATTGTTTTGAACCAGCTTATAAAGCAATGTTGTGTATTGGTTCTACTGTTTCTTCACCCATATATTCTTTCCTGTCATATGATCTTGTGTGAGACTTGGTGTAAGTGCCAGGTGATTTTAACCTTTCAAAGTATAATGACCATTGATGTACTTATCTCCTAAATCTGAATGAACATCCTTCTTTAAAAATCAGTGCCAATTGTTATAATTTTTATTACTGAAATTACAGAATCTGAATATCATCTTCAAACATCAAAAGAAATGTGGAAGAATCAAGGCACTTCTGGCAGCAATTATAGGGAATATGAAGGTCATGTAGGGGGTGTTAGCCTTTTGATACAAGTTCTAGTAACAAAGCGAGGTGATGTGTTGTAGGTGAGAATGTGACAAGTGGCCTCTCCTGGGCGTCTGTAGCAGAGAGAGTTCTCACCCGCTCAGAGAAACAATGTCGAACCAAGTGGTTAAACTTTCTTAACTGGAAACAGAAGGGCGGGACAGAGTGGACAAGGGAAGATGACATCAACCTGGTCATAAAGTGAGTCAACACTACAATCTGTAGGACGGTTAGGGCACTGATGACATGTTAAACTGTAAAACAAAAATGAAAATGTTAAATTTGTTTTTCAAGGGTATCTGCCAAAAGTATGAGTTTTGTCTTGTTATTCTATGTATTGGCTTTGGAGAAATTTGGATCAAATGATATGCAAGTTTTGGTTCAAAAATTCAAACATTACCTTAAATACATTTCTTTAATATGAGCAGTGACTATTTAATCTCTAATTTAGAATTGCTAACTTGGGTGTATCTGATGACACTGAAATTGACTGGACAGAGTTAGCTAAGAACTGGCCAAGGTAAGTCAGTGACAATTGTGGTATTTTAAAATCATATACAGGTGTTATACAAATTATTTTGAATGAAGAAATGATGAAAATTCTTCATGATATTTGTTTTAATTACATCAAGTTATAATCACATCCTTTTCAAAAGTCACAGGTACAATGTGTAAGGTAGCATACAGCCTAAACTCTAGGTTGGTACAATGTGTAATATAGAATACCTTTAATACAAATTGTGTGTATGATTGCATATAGCTATTAACTCTTAAAGGTGGCATATGTCCTTAACACAAGTACAAGGTGTAGTATATGTCCTTGACTTATATTTTGCAGTGTACGGTCACCACAGTGGCTACGAGGGAAGTGGTGGTCTCTAAAGAGACATGTACCAGATTATCAGCTGCTGTCATTCTCAGGTACAGACAGTTTTATCTTCAACATGTACAGACTTAGATATGGAAAACATATTTTTTAAAGACTTGAAAGGTGTAACCTTTACAAAATCAAGGTGTTTTCTTTTAAAATAGAAATTTAGCACATGTTCAACCTTTTGTAAGATGTTCCCTATATTTCTCATATGTATAAATGTATCACATATGACATTATATTGCTGTCAGTATTATTCAAGTTTTTGTTTCGGTTCATTTCAGATCTGATTACATTTTTGAAAAATGTACACCTACAAAATGTTCGAATGAAGAATCCTGTAACATCTTCTGGTATGCGACTTTCTCACATTGGATTGCCGCGACAAGTAACGACCGCAGATATGACTACACTACAGATACCCATGTCCCTTAACTCAAACCTACATTCACTTCCCATACAAACAGGTAAGCACTACTGTAGAATAAAATAGCAAATTTGTTGGGAGGGGTAGGGACACAGGTTTCCGTGTAGAATTGATTCTATGTAGAATAAACACCTTTGGTACGTTATAAAGATACTGATCATGACCAGCTAGTGATTTAAGGGACAGACTGGCCATTTTGTGATACACTATTGCTACAACAATCCAGCTGTGTAACAGAGCCAGGAAGATTCCATTGTACTTCAATACAAAAATGGTTAAAGGATTATATAGAGGCCAAAATTAGTTCACGGTAGACATTTTCAGGACTTGATCTCAGTGTATATATTAGAATGTCAACATCTTCTACACTTTTTCTTGAAGCAGGTAACCTAGACACAGGATCTGTAGATGGGGATACTGCTTTCCAGACATTCGAGGTACTACATCAGACAAGTTCAGGAACCTTTCTTATCTCTCAGCCCCAAAACAGTCCAGTTATCTCCCTTAGTGGGGCTGCTATGGGGACTGACCACATCATTGTACACACTCTACCTGTAAGTAATCTTCTCGGGTTCTTCTTTAATACTCAAAGTTGCATCTCATTTAAAGCAATGTGTGAAAATTATTGCAGTTTACAATTTATCTCCAATTAAATAAACGACATTATCAATATATATTGTTGTAGAAAAACTTCCTGAATAAATGTTCATTTTGAATGGGCTTTTTGCCGATTCTAACCCTGTATTTGTGTGATAACTTGCAGCCTAAGTTAATTAAATGACTAGAGTGCTATCATTGTATAATTTGGAAGTATAAATATATTTCACATTCATTTTCATGTGTGCAAATATTAATGGAAAAAGAATCTTAGAGAAATCAAATCAAAACTACCTTATATTTGCAATACATGAAGTCTATTAAGAAAAAATGGTACAAGTTCAATAAAAGTGGTTTTTATGGTGTTTGTTTTCAGACCACCACAATAAGAGGCAATGAGAATGTAACAGTACAGATGAACCCCACACCTGTAATACTGAGTACTGGTCCTTCACAGGACGAGGTGTCCGAGGTGGTGGCCACACTGGACGCCAGCGAGATGTCCAGCTCCATACAGCTAACTGACACCATCACAGAATCAGATCCAGGTAGGTTCATAGAAAAACGATTTTAAATTATGCTGTAGAGCATGATTTTGTGAAGCATAACCAGGTATTGATCAGATTTTGAAAAGGTGCTAGTTATTTTTATTCTGTACTACCGATTCCAAGAAAAAGACACATTTTGTAAGTAATGATATTTTTCATATCAATCAAAATGAGGCTACTGTAACTGTTTTACATCAATAACATTTGTGCAGATCTACAGACGCTAAGCCAGGATGGCCAGTTGCCAGGAGATGAGGGCGAGATGCCAGGGTCAGGACTTGACAGTAGTGACCAGTTAACTTCTCGAGGTCAAATCATCACAAGTGAAGAAATATTTGAGGCTGAGGTAACGCACCATCTACACCTTCATCTTTGAATGTACCTATAGTTACTGATAGAACAGTATTTATAGTTGTTTTATTGTGTTTCGTTGCTGGGGCCAGCATACTTATATGCAACCAATATCAACAAAACCGTGGATTTCAGTTATGTATTCAAGATCTTTGTGTTAAAAATGTCAATATATAATGAGTTTACTTTGTTTAATACTGCCACTGTTATTCCTCCAATTAACGAACAAGATGTTCTTTCATTTATATCCTATTTTCTTTTCATGTTCCTTAAAATAGCTAAAGGTACTTTCCAGGTTTCTCCCACAATGGTTTGAACCATGCCTTGGTAACCAATAATTTATTATTTATTATACCCCCTCATCGACCAATTCGGGGGTATATAGTGTTTGCTTCGTCCGTCCGAAGGTTTTAGGAGCATATCTCCCATACTATTTCACCTACGGTTATTAATCTTGGTTTGTGGGTACATGCATGGAAGGCGGTGTGTCACATACCATATGTAGGTCACTGTGACCTACATACTGTCGTCAGAAAGGTTTCCGGAGCATATCTCACCTAATATTTCACCTAAGGTTATGAATTTTGGTTTGTGGGTACATGCATTGAAGGTGGAGTGTTCCGTACCATATGTAGGTCACTGTGACCTCTACCGTGACCTGTGACCTACATATTGTCAGAAAGGTTTCCGGAGCATAACTCCCGTACTATTTCACCTACGGTTATGAATCTTGGTTTGTGGGTACATGCATGGAAGGCGGTGTGTCACGTACCGTATGTAGGTCACTGTGGCCTTTGACCTACGTAACGTGAGACTTAGCGTCTGCAAGGTTTGCAGAGCACATCTCCTGCTTTGTGGCTACTGCAACCTTCAACCTATTTACTTTGACTACCAGAATCACCCTCATCTTAATCCTATTCATGTGCTAAATACATGTACATGTATATACTACGTTGTCATGTATCAAACTACCTTCAGTGCAAATACTTGCAGCATATAAACTCTTCACTTGATTCTTCCAATCCACATGCCCATCACTCCCACCAATTCCTGATCAATCAAAGTGGGGGTATTCATGAAGGCACCCCTTCAAGTTACATCTAGTTTACATAGCAGAAGATCAAACAGGTCATCCTATGAAATTATGTGGATGCTAGTGTGTTTTAAAATATTTAATGTGAAGTTATAGCAAAAATACCAAAAATAATGATTAATGTTTTGTGTATAATTTGGAAAAGTCTTTAACAATGTTTATTGAAAATTAGCATTGGTTCTTCTGTGTTTAGATATTTTGTTTGTTAGTTTATTATTAAGCGAAACAAGAGTATTTATTGATGTTTTCTTGTAAAAAAATGGAATAAAATTCTGCAACTATCACTTTACCATATACAGGAGACCAACATTGGAAGCTCGACTGCAGACACGGTGGACCTTGTTATGGTCAGTACAACGTCCCCTTCCTTTGTCCAGACCACCAGTAGTGAACTCATGTCATCCCTATCAGGTAATTTTATGTCAGCACCGAAAAAATCATGGTGACTTGTTGAATTATACACTGAGTTGTTCAATACAGCTAATCTGTTATTTATGAAATAGTAAGTTCTGGTTATGGAGGGAGAGTCATAGTGAGTAATAAACAAGGTCGTAGAAGACAGAAGCTCATTTAATATGGGTTATGTAGAAAATAATGAAAGTGTACGGAAACCAACACAATTATTGGCGAAGGAGTCCAACGCCCTGGAGTGTAGGTGATGGTTGGTAGATGTCTCGATTGAGGAATATGGGTTATGTATACAGGAAAAGTTTGTGATTGGAACACTTGTGGTTAAATAAGAGAGAGGAGATCACTAAGTACCATATACCATTATAACACTGGAACCTTTGGTCCTGGATATGTATAATTAAAAAATATAGTAAAGTCAACTTGATGAAGGATGGAGCATCAACGCCAACGATTCCGTAGGTTTAGAATTTATTAGTTTACATGTTTCGGTTGGCTAGGCCAACCGTCTTCAGAACCTTCATCAAGTTGTTATTACCTATCGTCTATGGAGCTCTGCTAGAATACTCCGGTATCCACCTAGGATTCCTACACCGACACATCTAGCGAACATTACCACCCACGGGACGTTGGNTTAAGTAGACATGTAGGAGTTTTAAGGATGGGTTAATTGTCCAGAAAATGTACATGGTATATGTATCAAATATAGTTTTATTCCTTTGTCGGTGTTAATGCTGAGAGGAAAGCAGAGAATAGGTTCTTTTCTATGCCATTAACATTTTGGGAGATATGTATTTTATACCCAATTCATAACAAGTGTATTGTAGATTCAGATGATGAGCAAATATGTATTTCAATTAAGAAATTAATTTAATAATGCTATTGTTCCTTTTTGAGAATTAAAGTCCCTTCAAGTTGGTAGGATATTCATCGTGTTTTGTTCTAAACTAGGTATACAGTAAATTTCAGATGTCCTGTTATTTTGAGTCTTGATTATAATCGTCCTCTCATCTAATTTACGTTTGATCTTTGTTTCGCTCCCGTTTACTGATATGTGGCATAAAAGCAACATATCAGTTAACGGGAGCGATTCCAAGATCTGATTTTAATTAGATTGAACGGTCCTCAGAAAGTGAAATGTGAACAAGTTTTTCCATGTATGTATCAGATGTCGGTAACTTTGTGTCCAGATTATCTAAGACCACATCAAGATGTGAGAAAGCTTGATTATGGTGTGTTACTATGCGTATCTGAGTGGTTTATTTGATATTACAGATCCCATGTTACCGTACGGAGGGTCAGACTTGATAGGGTCATCATCCGACATGGAAGGAGAGAAATCACATGGTCAGATCTGTGAGAATGACACAGACATCACTAGTTCAGATATCAACGGGGCTGACAGTTAGCACATTGCTCTCAGCTCGCAAGACTTATGTGATAAATATATTTATTATTAGACAAATGATGATATTATTTGGTTTCTATTGAAAAAATGCATTCAGTAAGAAAAATGGTTTAATAAAAAACACAAACACAATTAATCTGCTGTTCTAGTTTTGTTAAATTTTGACTCAAAACTCTTTAACATTAAGGTATAAAGACGATTTATTACGAAACAGGAGTTTGTTTAGAATGAATGTTTATGAGAGCATTATTTTTGGTTTGTAACAAACTTTTTTCACGGAGATTATCTGACATCATACATCTTTGGAATAATCCATATACATCAGTTTGTCATAAAGACAAGGTTAGTAAAGTGCAGCCAGTAACATAGGAACAATGTAAACAATTCTCAATGGAGTTTCATTAATTTTCTTACATTTGATCAGACTTCATACACATCATCGACATGGAAGTGAACTTGTCACGGGTTTGGTTTTCTTCATAGTATTGTTATATTACTTTGACATCCACTGTTGGCAATGTTTAGCCTTTACTGTGTATCTTATGGGGTAGGGGCTCCAAAAGCGGGAACAAGGAAAAGTTTTAAAACTTTACAAGTTAAGCTATGTCTGGACGGAGAGAGTGGCTTATGGGTTTGTCCATTTCAGCCCTAAACTGGGCAGCACTAAACGTAGAAATTCCAACATACTATATCAACAGTAATTTGATTAATTTTGTCAATTAATGTTGCTCTGAAATTTTTGTGTTAGAGAGTTGATGAATCATATTATTGGCAAAGTCCACACTGATGTAAGTATTATGCTTTGAAAGTATTAATATCTTTATGTATAGTCAAAGCTGTGATATCTCACACCATTCTTTCACAGGGATCCTTGAACTTCATTCCATTTGACTCTGCTCACAGACTATCAATAAACTTTAAGGTCGTGTGATTTATATCATAATAATATAATGGTACCTTTGTTGAAACTAACAAAGTTGCACATGATTGTCGTAAAGGATGTTTTATTTTTTGATGCATTTGTGGAGTCGTACATCACATCTCCTACAACCTTATTCTTACAGAAATATTTGTGTTCAAATTGTCTAAAATTGACACTATTAGAAAAGAATGGTTTAATGACAGTGTGAGCTTGGAAGTTCAAAGCAAAACGTCGATACAGTTTACCAGGTAATGTCTAGAAGTAACAATGGACCTTTAACACATGATAAAGAGTCTTTAAGACGCATGGTTTATTTTACCTTGTGCATAAAACAACTTTATTAAGTGTTTTTATTAGGTCCTTTTGAATTCCAGGATGCTTTTCCGACAGAAGTGAAACCCAGTTATTTTGTATGTAGTGCTAACAAAGGGTTTGACCCAATACAATGTTTTCCAGCGAATTTATAACTTATTTCCTTATTTATCAGCACAGATCATGTGCATGCATGTGATACACATTTGCTCAATAATTAGAATTTTGTTGTGGTGAGATTCCATTGTATGGTTTGTTGTCTTCTTCCGTTACCCAAGATCTTTATTTAATAAAGATGATACTATTTTTAGTCAAATTTGCTGTGATTGTCATTTTTAAATCGCTCTTTTCATCAGTCTGTCGTTTTAGGCTACCAGCCCAACTATTGCTTTGTATAGTGGAGAACACTGATTAAGGCTTGGATACTGCAATGCTTTAATTTTGCCAGGTAAAGCTTTGCTTTGTGCAATACCATTAATATTTTAGTAGTCAATGGTTCAGAATAACACTATCAAAAAGGAAAAAAATCATGAAGGAGGGGTGAAACTGGGCAAAATATTAGCAATACAGTCCCAACAAAATCCATGGTATGTGTAATATTTATTGTTCTGTATCCAATTTTTTTAATGAAAAAAGCATTCACTCAAGTTTTAAGAAATATTTATTTCCATTTTTTTTCAAGGAAACCAATAAACCAATATTTCAACAGGCATTTGTCGCAAAGAGAACTTAAATGACCAACACCTACATGGACGAGATGTAGGGATACATAAATACATAATTTCTTTTATTATTTACGATCCAACAAGATTGAAAAAGCTTAAAAATATCTTGGACATGCCGGAGAAAACCACATCCATACATTGATCTTTGGCTTAGATTTGTCAGGTCATGACAGTACTAAAGTTTCTATTAATATGAATGAAAGAATATTTTTAAAGCTAAAAGAAAATTCTTAAGTAATGATTCTTTATAATGAACACAAGTTGAATACTAATAAGCAAGTAACTGGACACTAGGAGTACTAGATATGGCGGTGTAGTGGTAAGCCCAGTTGCTTTTACCAAGACTGTTGAGGTCCGATCTCCAATCAGAATGAGAAACAGACATCTGATCTGAGCCTGAACAGACAGCCTTGTGGATCAGAGCCTGAACAGACAGCCTTGTGGGTTTTCTCATCATGAGACTAAGTACGTGGTTTCCTCCCACATAATGAGCTACACACGCTTCCACTGGGCCAACAAGAGTGACGAAAATATAATTTGATAACTAATTTCATAATAATTGTAAAATAAGTAGTGCTATGATAATTAAAATTCAACTGAACACCAAGCTTGTCTATAACACCCTTTAAATCCTCTTTTCATGCAGACATGATAACTTTAAACATACATGAAACTCGCATAATGATAACTTTTATCATACATGATACCCTCAAATAGATCTTTATTAAGGCTATATGCTTGCTTACACATTCTGTGATTTGTGTTACCTCCCTGGAGAACGTTTCAATCAGCACTAGCTGATCACTAATAATTACCTGAGTGTTGTCAATACACGTTGGACCTTTCAAGTCTCATCGATTATGAAACTGTTAATTATAAACTTTAAATAAATTTCCTTAAATATGTCTCAAAATGAGAATTGTCCAAATACACAATGTTCCAAGTTATTGTCAGGTAATGTTTAGGTATCATGAACAGAATGGACAGATAAGAGAATAAAATGTGTATTTTCCATTCTCACGTTGTATTAAGTGCATTGTCATACTTCAAATGAAATGCCAACTACTAAATAGAATATGCCTGTTTGCCACTGCACTTAATATCAGGGTAGAAAAAGACAAATTACGCTTCATTCCTTATAATGGATCTGCATCTTGCTGACTTACTACACTTCAGATACATACCATCCTCTGTTATCTTTCAAAAACAGTCAGTAACAAACAATGTTCCACCTAGAAAAGCTACCACCGTTGGTAAGTCAAGAGTATCAAGTCAACAAAATGGGTATATTTCAATGAACACTGGATTTTTGATTATGAAGAGCTTGTTTCCCTTGTCTATAAAACGTGTTATATGGGAAGTGGGCTTATGATACAGAGCGATTGGTCTCCATTCTAAAAGAGTCGCACTAAGAAACCTGTATACAGTATAATAACCCTTTTTTTTGTAAGTCCCGTATTTATCCTGTAATGAGACCAGGGGCCAATGCATAAATTCTGGCTCAAAGTAGTTGGAGGATTATGAAAAAGCATTTGTTAGTCACCCACGAAATTCTGAATTGGAATTACAATAATGCTAGTTCATCATTTAAAAAATCAAGGGAAGTAACTTTTAAATTCAATGTGTAATGCAACATATAACCTTAAAAATGATGGAGAAGCCTGCATAATCTTTGAGATTATATTCATCCATGAAGTATCTACAATATATACAGGTTTAATCATTATATACAGTGTTAAAAATATGTCATATATCATAGCATCAATGTTTCATACAAATGTCACATGCTTATCACACCAAGATATTTTTCACTGTAAAATATGTACCGGTAACGTAAAAATAAGTTAGTGCAAATAACATGTCAACTATAAACCATTTATTATCCGAGATTATATTTCCAAAACCTTATTTCCAGGGATTTTAAAGTGTGCAATAATACATTTACATGTACAGTGGAGTCCTGATAATCCAGCAATATTTGTTCCTAGCAACACTTACTTGATAACGGGGACAATTCTGTGGCTGGAAAGTGGGTCTAGCAGAGGAGAGATGGCTGTGTAATAGGTCAACCAGATTATTGGTGACTGGGAAGTTAGATGGCCGATTTAGAGGTGGCTGTATAGGAGACGACCAGATTAGTGGTGACTGGGAAGTGAGATGGCCGATTTAGTGGTGGCTGTATAGGGGAACAACCGGATAAGTGGGGACTGGGAAGTTAGATGGCCGCTTTAGAGGTGGCTGTATAGGAGACACCCAGATTAGTGGTGACTGGGAAGTTAGTTGGCCGATTTAGTGGGGGCTGTATAGGAGACAAACGGATTAGTGTTGACTGGGAAGTTAGATGGCCGATTTAGAGGTTGCTGTATAGGAGACAACCGGATTAGCGGTGACTGGGAAGTTAGATGGCCGATTTAGTGGTGGCTGTATAGTGGAACAAACGGATTAGTGGTGACTGGGTCAAGGGAAACTAGATTAGTGATGTTAGTATAGTGGAACAATCAGATTAGGGGTGGCTGTATAGCGGGACAAGCAGATTAGTGGTGGCTGTATAGAATGACAATCAGATTAGGGGTGGCTGTATAGCGGGACCAACAGATTAGTGGTGGCTGTATAGAAGTACAATCAGATTAGTGTTGGCTGGATAGAATGACAATCAGATTAGTGGTGGGTGTATAGAAGGACAATCAGATTAACGGTGGCTGTATAGAATGACAATCAGATTAGTGGGGGCTGTATAGAAGGACAATCAGATTAACGGTGGCTGTATAGAATGACAATCAGATTAGTGGTGACTGGATCAAGAGAAACTAGATTAGAGTTGTTAGTATAGTGGAACAATCTGATTAGTGGTGGCTGTATAGAAGGACAATCAGATTAACGGTGGCTGTATAGAATGACAATCAGATTAGTGGGGGCTGTATAGAAGGACAACTAGATTAGTGGTGGCTGGATAGAAGGACAATCAGATTAACGGTGGCTGTATAGAATGACAATCAGATTAGTGGGGGCTGTATAGAAGGACAATCAGATTAACGGTGGCTGTATAGAATGACAATCAGATTAGGGGTGGCTGTATAGAAGGACCATCAGATTAGTGTTGGCTGGATAGAATGACAATCAGATTAGGGGTGGCTGTATAGCGGGACCAACAGATTAGTGGTGGCTGTATAGTGGAACAAACGGATTAGTGGTGACTGGGAAGTTAGATGGCCGATTTAGTGGTGCCTGTATAGGAGACAAGCGGATTAGTGGTGACTGGGTCAAGGGAAACTAGATTAGGGGTGTTAGTATAGTGGAACAATCGGATTAGTGGTGGCTGTATAGCGGGACCAACAGATTAGTGGTGGCTGTATAGTGGAACAACCGGATAAGTGATAACTGGGAAGTTAGATGGCCGCTTTAGAGGTGGCTGTATAGGAGACACCCAGATTAGTGGTGACTGGGAAGTGAGATGGCCGATTTAGTGGTGGCTGAATAGTGGAACAACCGGATAAGTGGGGACTGGGAAGTTAGATGGCCGATTTAGTGGGGGCTGTATAGGAGACAAACAGATTAGTGGTGGCTGTATAGAAGGACAATCAGATTAGTGGTGACTGGATCAAGGGAAACTAGATTAGTGGTGTTAGTATAGTGGAACAATCAGATTAGTGGTGGCTGTATAGAAGGACAATCAGATTAGTGTTGGCTGTATAGAATGACAATCAGATTAGTGGTGGCTGTATAGAAGGACAACTAGATTAGTGGTGGCTGTATAGAAGGACAATCAGATTAGTGGTGGCTGGATAATGGAAAACCAGAGTAGTAATGGTTGGAAAATGAAACAAAGTGGTTGCTGGATTAACTGGGCTCAACTTTATGTCAAAGTAGTTTGAAAAATACTACAATTCCTCTTTTTGACTCCGCTCTCAAATGAACATGTAAAAATAAATCTAACAAACTATAATGACTTACAGCACACTAATCTAAGTAACAATTAGTTTTGATTAGTTGTATCATATTTCAATTTCTTCAAGTTATTAGGATTGTAAATCTGATAGTATTATTGTTAATTTGGAAAAAATCTACGTTTTTGTATAATGTGCACTTTCCAATCATGATGACTAGAAGAGATATTACATGCATGACAATACAAGATAAGGTTCAATAGGGTCAAAAAGACACTTAAAATTTTCACATCAAAAAATATTTTCCTTGTGGAAATATGAGTAAGTTTTCCCCATATACAAAAATATCATTTGAAAGTAATTCTGTCATACAAATATTAATGTAAAGCCATCATAATTATCTTAACAGGACATCCAATGCTTTTCTGTACATATTCCCAACATAATTCACAGTTGAGTCAATAAAAATACTACATAATATACCACTGGTAACATGCTCCCCAGGGATGTAAAAATTTGGTTAAATCTGCACTGTAACTGGCTGTTATTTATCAGATCTCCATGGCCAAAATAAAAGTAATGTTCCTGTTCCTTTGGCATATCTTAACTGCAGAAATAAGGGAAAAGTTTTCTTCTTTTTTAACCTTGCTTAATTCTTATGAGGGTGGCATTATTTTTTTCATTTTTTGACTACATCAAAATTTTGAAAAATTAAGGAGGATTTCTATGATGTAAGAGAAATTTAAACAACATATTTCATATTATCATCAATCAAATAAATTTAATGTACAAAACCTTTTTATCTCTCAAATAAGCATCATAGTAAACTTTTTAAAAGTTTTCAAGATTAAATTTTTACTTTATTTATTTTTAAATTTTCAATAAAAATCAATTCATTTTATACTTTGAGTTTGAATATGATGTAGGAGGCCTGATAAACACGATATTGTTCTGTTTGCCTAATACATGTTACAAATTGGAATACATGGAAACATGACAAATATGTACAATATGTATGTGTCAAAAATTTGGAAAAAAAATACCAGGAAATAATAGTTACTATTTTAGGATGAAAAATTAGAAATGACAGAATTTCTGAGAACTCTTATTAATTTGGCTTTAGACTACAGTCCAATTTGTTCAAGAGACCACACTTATTAACACTTTGACCCATATGTCACTTTAGTAGGCTATACCATGCATTGTTATGGCCGAGTCCATTATGATCTACAGTGGTGAAAGGGTTAATCAGAAGCAATTACCTCTTTTAAAAGACTAGCAGATTCTCATCCCAACAACATATTTTTACTACATTGTATATATACTCTATTATGAGATAACCTCTATTAAGATACCACTATTGAGCATTTCCTTGGATTTTTCTTAATACAAATAATATATTGTTTGTCTAATGTGTTCGAAGCATCTACATATGTATAACCTCTTTGTGAATTTACACAATATAATTAAAAAAAAATCACAAGTAATTCATATTAGTAAGTCTTATAGGTACAGCAAGTCATTACCTCAGAAAGGTAGTAATTACCACCTAAGATTAGAAACCTAAAGCTCCCCTTGAAGGCAATGAATTATTAAAACAATAAATAAACCGGAAAGAAGATATTTACAATTGTAATAAAGAGAAGCATATCATGATAATTAATGTGGAGAAAAAAATTCGAAACTACATTTTAAACATATATATCTGCTACATTGTATTATCATATAATATAACTGTATAACTTAATCACATTGGAAAAAGTACAGGTAGTATGGCACATTACAAGTAACTAGATAAGATCTTGAAATCTATAATGAAAAACTTTCATTTTATAGACAAATTTACCCTTCACATCAGATTTCACATTCACCCTAAACATTGCAAATACTATGACTATTAATACACGATGAATTTGTGGAGGAGAGGACAGTGAAAAGTTAAGCTGCATGAAGTGTTCGCTTAGAATACAAGTCATAGAAATTATAGCATGTCTAATTTTTTCATAAAGTGAAAACATAGGCAAACTTGCAAACCAGATGTGCATGTAAATACTCTTTTACTGACAATGTTTTGGGCTTTCAATCATATATACTTTGTACACAAGCTTTGCCTCACAATCACGGTAAACATTTTCAGTTCATTTTGTAGTCTTTTCACCCCCGAATCCATGAAAGTATAAGTTACCACACACACAGAGTAACATGATGGTGAAAGCATTGTAAATGATCATGGTCCTAAACTTGGGCTCAAGGTCACCTTGTCTGTACCAGTAAATCTACAAAAACAAAACAAAACACTTAACTGACTGATATAGAATCGAAGTCGCTTCACGTGTATGTTCGTTAATGTACAAGAAAACTGAAAACAGAAAAATTTCAATTTTTGAATAAAATGTTCAATAGGATTAGTTGGATACAAGCTAAATATTCAATAATAATATACAATTTCACAAGTTTCATTATTTAAATACTCAAGTTTTTTTTAGTGATAATTGCCCTTGTATATATACAAGCCTAGCATCCTGATACTCCCGGGGAGCCACCTTGTGGATGACACACAAGAAGACTAGTTTGATCTTTTGATGTACATCAAAACAATTCTGTAACAGCGTAATAGTAAAATTGATCGGTTATGAGATGGGTGTTGCTCCTCTGTAATGTTTAAAAGACAGGTATCAGCCTAGCGATTGGTCAGGGTTTTTACATGAGACCAATCAAATTGTCAGCCACATGCCTTCAATATTGCCCTGACATATTCCAGTACAAGAAAACTTGCAGAGAGCAAAAGCGAGCGTAGCCCCTGGAGTATTGTTGAAGATGAGTGAAGCAGATGTACCTTATAAGATGTAACATACATTAGAATTATTCGTATCCATTTCCTCTGAATGGTTTCAGCATTAGCAAGTAAAAAGAGTATGTTTGTCCAATTTATACACGTACCAGAAGTAAATGTGAAGCGCAGATCAAAACCATAATAATAGCAAAGAATACATTGTTTCCCGCAGGTGGCCATTTTGGAAAGATGAATGCACTGACCAAAGTCACCTAGAGTAAAAAATAAACACACATGTATTTACTAATTACGCATTTGTCATATACATGCATTATTTAGATTTGCTAGATATTTACATGTTTTTACAAACATTTTTTTTTAACAACATATTATTATGATTAAACATCAAACAATCTTAATTTCATTCATTCTCACCTTTTCAAATTCTGATTCAGGTACTAGATAGGATGCAAGTGTTTGTATCTGTACTGCAAAATGTGTTCCATAAAAAATTTCCATACAGTATATCACATATGTTTGGTCAAAGAGTCGCAGAGGTCACAGGGTATGCTATTTATGGAACTACACATACATGTAGTGTGTAATCAGATACCATAGCAACCTCTTTTCAGTGCCACTTCATATTTACTGGAAACACTCCATATTTACTGGGAGTGGTTCATACTTACAGTAAATGGTTCAGGCTAATAGGGAACAGTCTATATTTACAGGGAGTGGTTCATACTTACAGTAAATGGCTCAGGCTTATAGGGAACAGTCTATATTTACAGGGAGTGGTTCATACTTACAGTAAATGGTTCAGGCTAATAGGGAACAGTCTATATTTACAGGGAGTGGTTCATACTTACAGTAAATGGTTCAGGCCTATAGGGAACAGTCCATATTTACAGGGAGTGGTTCATACTTCCAGTAAATGGTTCAGGCTTATAGGGAACAGTCTATATTTACAGGGAGTGGTTCATACTTACAGTAAATGGTTCAAGCTTATAGGGAACAGTCCATATTTACAGGGAGTGGTTCATACTTCCAGTAAATGGTTCAGGCTTATAGGGAACAGTCTATATTTACAGGGAGTGGTTCATACTTACAGTAAATGGTTCAGGCCTATAGGGAACAGTCCATATTTACAGGGAGTGGTTCATAATTACAGTAAATGGTTCAGGCTTATCGGGAACAGTCTATATTTACAGGGAGTGGTTCATACTTACAGTAAATGGTTCAAGCTTATAGGGAACAGTCCATATTTACAGGGAGTGGTTCATACTTCCAGTAAATGGTTCAGGCTTATAGGGAACAGTCTATATTTACAGGGAGTGGTTCATACTTACAGTAAATGGTTCAAGCTTATAGGGAACAGTCCATATTTACAGGGAGTGGTTCATACTTACAGTAAATGGTTCAGGCTTATAGGGAACAGTCCATATTTACAGGGAGTGGTTCATATAGTTCATATGCTTACAGTAAATGATTCAGGCTTACAATGAACAGTCCATATTTACAGGGAGTGGGTCATATTACAGTTAATGGTTCAGGCTGCAGTTCAATTAAAGAGCAGTTCATAGTTACAGGTAATTGCTCATACTAACAATGATTGGTTCATATTTCTAGGATAAGTTTCATATTTACTAAGAATGGTTCGTACCTCTAGGGGGCATGATATGGCTCCATATACAAGGTTCATACAGATTGGTTCCAATTCACAGGAAATGGTACAGTTGAATAGTCAGACTTACAGAAAATGTTTTATTTACTTCCAGTTGTACATATACAAATGTACTTCTATGGATTCAGGAAATATTTATAGTTACCTTGATTTGTACACTTACAGGGATTAGTTCCTACTGAAATGAAATGGTTCATACTTACAGCTACTATAATACTTGTAAATACTGCAACAACAAGGTTCAGCATGCGATCCTAAAAATAAAAATATGAGATAATTACGACCAGTGACAGCTAGTTTGTTAACATTCGTCCTATATTTACCTATGGTCATTTTACTACACAGCCAAATCGGTCTATATAGCCAGATTTGCCAGTGATCCAGTGCCTGATCAAGTGACAGCTAGATCAAGTGGCGGATCCAGAGGGTTTTTTGGGGGCTTCAGGAGACACTCCCCGGCCACCCTGAGCATTTTCTTTAAAAATCATGTATTTTCACCATTATCCTCAGTTTTGAGATCGGTTTATAGTTCAACATATTATAGGTATATATAAATAACGTATATATATACTGTACACCTAAGTTATTTTACGTACCCTCGGCTGTGGGTCGCCAAACAACGGGCGAGCCGCTGGGTCCTCATACGTGTTGCTCATAATGGGTCCGTTGGGAATGGAATGTTAGATTCTTGTTCGTCGACTTGTCTACAGTCTGTCAGTAATCACGTCATGTTAATCCTGCAAGTCAATTTTGTATCACGGTCGCACTTTAGGCCATGCGTTCCCATGCTTCCATTTATCAGGATAAGTCAAATGTATCTCCACTTTATTCAAATCCAAAAGTCTCGCTACAAAACCAATCTTTTTTTAAACCTGCGCGTGATCATCGACTTTTATAGATCGCGATACGATTTACATTATTCAACAAGTAAAAGAAATACTCATGGGTAGATCCCTCGTCGCAGTTCACAAACATACATATATTTGACGTTCGGCAGAACAAATTTGAAAGAAGATGTTTTGTTGACAAAAACTTCCTTGGTCTTGATACGACCTGTTTTCACTGTCAGGGACCAGAGCAGAGCTTCATGTGACTTCCTGTATATTTAAAACGAGGCTATAATTTCCCCGTTCTATTTTTAGAAATTAATACTTTCGTTTTAAATTGGTTCTCGTTGTGCCCGCTACTGCTATTAGTTATGACAACGATAGCCTATTAAACACCGAAGCATTTTTATCTGTGTCGACGTGTTATTTTAGAGTACGTCCATGTTATTATAACTAGAGAAGATCTGCTACGAAAATAGCTAAGTAAGAAAGTGCAATTTGCATGTGATATGTAGGGCGATTATATAATTTCGTATTAACATTGAGTTTATACTGTTGGAGAAATTTCAACGAAAGAAACTTTTCATGAAACGGAATGTCTACAGCAATAATGAACTTATGAGGTGAATTAACAGATATTGACGGCTACAACTCAGAAATATAAGTTATGATATGTCATGCATAAAGCAGATGCAAGCGTCGAGCTTACAAAAGGGGCATGATCACGCCAATTTTGTAAAAGGAGAAAGAGAAATGCACGAATACACATATAGTATACATTATATGGTCAAAGAAGTAATAACGACAGTGCAGAAATATTGACATACGAGGCTAGTACCTGTGGCACAACCAGACTGGGTGGGATATATTCGAACCCAAGTCCTCCCGAACTCTAGACCGTTCCGGCTACCCATTGAGCTACCTGGTCACCGACGTTCGACCCAGTCCAGTTCCGCATTACAAGTAAGTAAGAGTTGACAAGCTCACCAATTTTGTAACAGGAGAAAGGGAAATGCACGACCAGACCGGAAATCGAACCCGGCGGCACCCTCGAAACTCTAGACGGACGCTCTCACCGAGCTACCTGGTCGTCGACGATCGACAATGGGTTATCAGGTGCCTTATTGGTGCAATACTTACTAATATTTTGAAAGTATCTGCTGTCGAGGACAGCGGCCCCAAGAGCGAGGTGAAAATCTACATTCTGAGCATGTTCCTGCGTACTATTTATATTGTCATTTTTTCTGTCTCTCAAATATTGGATATGTCGGAGAAAAAAAGAAAACAAAATCAGCACATCATGTAGATCTCAATATATCATAATAAAGTGTTCGTTTGAAAAAAAATGACGCCAAGAAGAATTGTAAATCTTCTACTAGGCAGTGCATTATGGGTGGAGATAGTATAAGGAACAGATCTGGGTATTTAGAAAGTAGGATATATTTTTTTTGGGGGGGGGGGGGGGGGNTGTTCGGGGTTTTTTTTGGTAGGGGGATGGTTTTAGTATGTGTATATTCTTCTAGCATTGAAAACTGTACTAAGAGTAATATATTGAATCGTAATCCAGCAGCAGGGTAATTATCAGTTTTAAAGATTATAGCCAACATGCGTCGATTACCCCCACCCCTTCTCAAAGAAACAAAAATAACACACATTCTAAAAAAATAAATATGTTTGTGTTTTGTCTTTTTAAAATTCTTTTAACGTTTTCCATGATAATTTGATGATCTTATTGTTTGAGCATTACCGTGACCTTTCAAACAATTAATAAATAACTATTTCTCTCAAACCATGAAGCAAGTGAAGTTGATGCCAAGCTTTGAGGTGGAACAGGATGATATTTTGTTTCTGATGTTGTAAAAATATAAGTTTACAGTTTAAAAAATGTGAATGAATGTTGCCCAAAGCTCTGTGTTGCATTTGAACGCCCAGGGTTCGGCTATTTTACCGCCAAAAAGTTGAGAGGGGCGGGGCGTCCGGGTCCCTCTACCCCACCCCACCCCACCACACCCCACTCCCCCTTAAAATCCAACTCGTTCACAATTTCAAACTTGAATTCCACCCCTCCATTGTAAATGGAGCTGTACAAACGAGCCCGTTACATTTGTGCGTGGCATATCATTTCGATCATGTTAGTGTCATTTGAAATGAACATTTAAAACCAGAAGCTCCACTGTGACGCCCGTCAATCAAAAGTGGAGTGATTCTTTCAGCCAATTGTTTTGCAGATTTTTTTTCTGTACTGTTGCGCATGTGCGGATTTCATTTAACATGCATTGAAACAAAGTCGTCTGCAGGTGCCAAAAAGCCGCCATATTGGAAAGTTTTTAAGCTCCCAAACTTGGAAAGACAAACAACGATGAAATCAACATGAAAAACGTAAACAGGTAAATAAACATGCATATGATTCAACCACCCAAACCAGGTAAATACAATTACTGCTGTGTATTGAAAATGTTTTGAAGTATTTAACAAAATGTTTGGCTAATTGGATGCGGCACCTGTTCTTACGCTTCAGTCGCTGAAATTCTCCATTTCCATGAATGGTAAATTACAAACAGAACACAAGGCAAACATAAATAGAAAACCCGGCTCCATGGAGTTCACATGACTTGAATCCCGCCAATATCGAACGAAATCTATGACATGGTGCATAAACATTCGACCAACTCGAAGCCGAATAGGGATTCATGTCCTGTGAGCAACTCTTTGTAATCGTGGCATTTGTTTTTGTCAGGTTTGCACTCTTACTCTGATGTATATTTTTATATGGACATTATTTTGCAATGACGCCCTTCCAAAATGTAACTCGTGCTGTCGCTTGTTTATGGTCGTGATTCAATTGCAAGAAGACGATGTCAATTTCAAATCACAGATTTCTCCATGTATTTACACGATAAATAAAACTAGTGAAATAGATAAATTTTTACTCCGAAAAGCGAGAGGTGGTTTTTTTTTTCGAGAGTGATAACACTATAGTGTAAATCCGAGTAAAACATGTTGATAGCGGTTTTGCTGGGGTTGCTAGTGCCGGTGTTATTTCCTTCAGTGATATTCAACGTGCCGAGGAACAAGCCAGATGTTACATAGACAAAGATAAAACACTCCGGACCGGAGAGCTGTTGAATACATTGCGTTGTCACCGGGGAGGAGGAATGGCGATTTTTTTGCCGCAACCGATACCGGACGGGGACAGTCGAACCCAAGCTACATTCGAGTTGTAACAGGTAGGTACCATGGACGTTGTGTTGTTGGTTTCAACTCATCTGACCCGGAGGGTAAGTGATCTTATGTCGTGGGGCGGCGTCCACCGTCCGCCCGGACGTCTGACCGTCCGGCGTATTTTTTTTTCATACTTTAAACGATTTCCTATGAGTAACCAAGAGACACACAATTGGCATAATGCCAGTAAAGTGGTGGAAAAACGAGTTATTAGTTTGTTGAAATGAATGCCATTGACACACTTTCAAGGTCACACAGGTCAAATTTGATTAAAAAAAAAGTTTTTTTCTGAATAAGCAGGGGCGTAGCTGGGTTGAATATGGTATGTAGGCAGAATGTTAGCGCGAGAGGGGAGGGAATGGGAGGGGGTCTTCCCACGACAATGTGTTGCCGCAGGCAGCACCCGAGCGCGAAGCGCGAGAGGGGGAGGGGAGGGGAGGGGGACTTCCCCCTCCCCTTGGTGGGGGTCTGGGGGCCTCCCCCCGGAAAATTTGGAATAATAGAAGGCCTTAGGAGCAATCTCCCGTGTTCCGCTGGCAATTGCAATAGTTTAATTAATGAAAATAAAGCTCATTTTTTGTGAGAAAATATCGGGAAATATATTTTATTCCATATTATATCACACATTTTGTCGAATATGCATACTTTATGATGGGCAACATCAGTGATTTATGTGAATAAATGTTTTAAGCGTTATCCAAAGTCAGTATACAAGTTAACTGAACGATTTCAGAGGTCAGACAGTGTTCAGACAAATTGTAATCGCCGAGTTTTCCGGGCAGCAAACTGGCCATTTAGTTAAACTTTGGAGTACACTTGCAATATATTTCTAACTGCCATGTGATCCTCGACCCACGAACTCTCGCCCCTCCCACGGGCTTCCGCCCCGTCCACACGGTTATTAGATTGACCCACCATACCATATTGTAATTGTTTCCTAGGAATTCATTTACCCCTCCCCGAGTATCTCTCCTACGACACATTTATAACTTTTGACACACCTCTAATATAAATGTATATATTATATATATATGTTCTCAGTACAACAATAGGCCTATAAGGCTGTATATGGACACAGGCAGTCGTCTCGTATGTGTGGGTGTATGCGAGTCCCATGTGTGTAGTATACTTATAATACTACACACACGAGACTCACATACAAACACACATACGAGACAATTGCCTGTGTATATGGAGCAATATTTATATACCTTGATGGAAAATTGTACTGGTGGCAGTCCGTCCATTTTAGAGACATTATATCTCGTTTGTTGATAGTTAAATCGGAATTACCAACGTCGGGGTAGGGAGGTGACATACCGAGCCGACGACGAGATTGAAAACTTTGCAAAAACTTTAGTTTAATCAATGTCAGATTCTGATACGATATTTATGCGTATGTTACATATGAAACAAGCGTTCGTAAGATTATCGATCAGACATAGGCTTACTAAAAGAAAACTGGACGGCAAGGGAACGACTCGTTAATGACGGCCCGGGGACGGGACAAAACTTTATCCGAAGACAGTCAAAAAGCAAAATTATACATGTAATCGACAAAAACAAGGACCAGTAAAAAAAAGTGTATTTATGAAATTTTATGTGTAGGCAGTTGCCTATTCTGCCTATAGGCAGCTACGCGTCTGATAAGTAAAAGGCTTAGGGCGATGCTATTTGGATATAAACATGCTGCTTTGGAGTGCTATTAACTTTGTTCAAACGTCTGACTGTAACCTATTTTCATAGTCACAGGGGTCGAATGTGTTAAACTTTTAAACGACTTCTTCTCAATAACAAAGAAGCCTAGGATAATGCCATTTGACCAGTAACATGAATTAAACAGGAAATCAAATACCCGGTTCCATGGAATTCACATGACTTGAATCCCGCCAATATCCAACACGTGATACCTGTATGCAGTTGTACAGAACACAATAGGGATTCCTGTCAGGTGAGCAGTTCTTTGTAATCGTGGGCTTTTTATACATGTTTGCAATCCCCCACTTTTGTTTGTTGACTGAGAAATATAATTGATGTAGAT